TCAGAATCTTGGAAGGCAAGAAACCATACTTCTTCACCCCGATCTCTAGTATCTCCCCGAAGCTCTCAGGTAGTAACACAACCTTTCCTGCAATGTCTCCTTTCTCGGGCCAACTAACTGTTACTCTAGTGTGGTAGGGATTTTCTATTGTGGTTTCTTTCACGGGTAAGAGGATTGGTTGGTCAATGCTTTCGGAAGCCGACATTATACCAAACAGCGAGTTGTGGATGCAGTTTGTCCTACGCCTGGGACGGGAGTACGGGATTGCCCCAAAAACAGTCCCTCGATCTGTGTCGTGGGAGGCATTGTGGGCTCACTTTTGAGCCTCACTTTAGAAGCATCCAGCACAATGCACAGCAAATAAAGTGACCTATAAAAATCTTGTAACATGTTATCCAAGAGGGCGTCTGCGTAATGATCTGATAATGTTCTCAGTTATCTGATAATGTTTACATGTGTTTCTGCTGCATTGTTATATTGGAGTCATGGAGTGCTATGGTAGCTATAAGCTATTTGATAAAAATTAACTTTAATGTTTCCAAAATCATTTTGATATGTTTTATTTATGTATTTTGTACGAAATGATGAGAATGGGAAAAGGCAGATTTTGCCTGTGTAAATAAGCTTTGCCTAATGAACCCAGAAATAATTGATTTTCCTATCTTTCTCCAATCTGCGTAGAGAAAAAAAACAGATTGCTTGTGAATAGACAATCACATTTCGTTTTAGAAAATTTTCCAAAACCGTGCAGGAACCTTTCCACACTTGTATTACATTAATGGTCTCTCTGGTTTCATGTGTTTGCATGCAAGACTATAGGGAGAAGGAACTCATACATAATTTTAACTAAATGTGAGAGAACATATATACCCTTCAACTTTCTTTGAGAATAATTAAACACAAAACTTATAAAGATTTAACAAGTGTTCTATTATGTCAAGAACATAGATACATAAATCGCTGGACATGCCGTGAACTCCGTACGAAAACGATCCGGTCGCTTGCCGGAACGCTATGCGGTACGGTCTTGGAGTCGTACCAGTCGCTGTTCAGAGTCGTTCTCTATCGATCTTGAAATCGACCCCAATCGATGTTCAACGCGAATTTATTCGCCGTTTCCCTTCGTCGCACAGCTTCAAAACATCGTTTCCGATAGTTTCCCAGATTTCTGTCATATTCCAGATTTCAAACTAAGGTCTGTGACTCGTAGTTTGCTTTTCGTTTCCCGTGTGTAAACAGCGTACATATTTTGATTTTCGAACCAGGCTCCTAGACTCTTAGTTTTCTGATCCCACTCATCAATTTTACTCTCTAATAAATACGAGTATTATAACTGGCTGAGAACGGCTCACAACCTTTCAATCTCCTACCGTCCGAGAGAAACGAACAGGGTTGCCCACCATCTCGCTCAATTAGGTCTCACCTCAGACAACCTTCAAACATTTACAGCGGATGATCTTCCTCCCAGAGCCAAAAGAGCGTATAATGAAGACAGGGCTGGAGTGGCTTACTTCAGAGACGCTGGTTGAATGGACGGAATCACTCTTCTCCGCCGGCACTAATTCTCTTTTTTTGGACGCTAGTTTTCTCTACATGGACCCCAGGAACCATTTCGCAGCCCATTTTGACCATTTTAAAATTGTCCATTTTATGTTTTCACAGGGAAACGCATTTAGATTCCTTCAGCGAACAACTTCGGTTCTGCACATTCTGTAATTGTCATCCATTTTCAATAAAATTTTGGTAAATGTTACCCGACATTTATCACACCCAACTCTGGGTGGTTCTCGGGCAAAAAAAAAAAAAAAATACGAGTATTATAAATTGAGGCAAAATGATTTCACTTTTTTTTTCAAACCAGGATCCTAGTCTCCTAGACTCTTCTTTTTTATTTTACTCTCTTAGTACTGTTTTTCTGATTTGCTTGAAATATTTCTTGAACATTAATGTTTTTGATTTTGTTTAATGTTATGAAATGATGTTACGAAATCTGTTTTTGTTCAATGTTCAAATCTGTATTCTATAATCCAGTTTTATATTTTTATTAGACCAAAGTATTAGGTACAGAGTACCAAACATATGGTACGTCGTACCAAACGCATACCGAAATGAAGCTACCCCCCTCCGTATCGGATACGCTAGATCTAGCAAACCGCGTTCCCGTTCCTCGTTCCCGTTTCGAACCATACCGCGAACCATGTGACGAACCATGTGACTATGGTCAAGAAACAGTTGAGGGTATATATTTTCCCTCATAGATAGTTCATGGGTATATGTGTGTTTTCTAATATATAATCACGGGTATAATACTCCCTTCTTATTTAAATAGCTGCAACATTTTAACTTTTGGCCCATATTTAAATACTTTTAACTCTTTTTCAGGCGGCGTTCCTCCTCACACGACGGCCATCACCAAGAAGATATGCATAGATCTTCTAAAATCCTGCAAATCCATGGCCCAGCTGGAGCAAATCCAGGCTTTGCTTTTCACCCTTGGCATCCATCAACACGTAGACACCCTCCACAAACTCATGGCCTTCACAGCTCACCCTCTCCATGGAAATCTTAGCCACGCCCAAAGGATATTTGATCGCATTGAACAGCCAACCCTATTCATCTACAACGTGATGATCAAAGCGCATACGAAATCGGGTCATTTCCGAAATGCCCTATATTTATTCAACGAGCTTAGATGGTTTAGGATGTCTCCTGATAATTTCACTTACCCCTTTGTCTTCAAGTCCATTTGTGGAATGAGGGATGTTCTTGATGGTGAAAGGGTTCATGGGTTTGTTTTGAAGAGCGGGATTGGATTTGATTGTTATGTGTGTAATTCACTCATGGACATGTATGGTGAGTTGGGATGTATGAAGCGTGTCAAGAAATTGTTCGATGAAATGCTCAGTAGAGATTCAGTGTCGTGGAATGTTCTAATAGCTGGATATGTTAGATGCAGCAGGTTTCAAGAAGCTGTCAGAGTTTATAGGAACATGTTACGAGAGGGGAGCATTAAACCCGAAGAGGCCACTGTTGTTAGTACCCTATCAGCTTGTACAGCACTGAAAAAACTGGATCTTGGTGAAGAAATACATCAGTATGTTAGCAAAGAGCTTGGACATACCATTAAGATCGATAATTCTTTAGTGGATATGTATTGTAAGTGTGGCCGTTTGACTGTGGCTAGGAAACTGTTCGATGATATGCCTACAAGAAACGTTATGTCCTGGACCAGCATGGTTTCAGGATATGCCAGTTTTGGTCAGTTGGAAGATTCCAGAGACCTATTTGAAAAGAGTCCAATAAAGGATGTTGTTTTATGGACGGCTATGATTAATGGGTATGTCCAATCTAACCTTTTTGAAGAGGCAATGTCTCTTTTCCAGGCAATGCAAAAGAAAAACATGAAGCCTGATAAGTACACTCTGGTTTCGCTACTCAAAGGTTGTGCTCAAGCGGGAGCACTGGACCAAGGGGGGCAGATCTATAACTACATGACACAGAACGGAATAACCATTGATGCGGTTGTCGGCACTGCACTTATGGAGATGTACGCAAAATGTGGCTCCCTCAACAAGTCATTAGAAATCTTTCAAGAGCTGTTAATAGGAGAAAAAGATGCCACATCATGGACTTCGATCATCTGCGCCCTTGCTATGAATGGACATGCAAAGAAAGCTTTGGAATTGTTTTTACAAATGGAACAATCTGGAGTAATCCCAGATAGTGTTACCTTCATTGGTGTCTTAACAGCTTGTAGTCATGGAGGGTTAGTAAAGGAAGGTCGGCAATATTTTGATTCAATGATAAGGAAATATGGTGTAGAACCAAAGTTGGAACACTACGGATGTTTGATAGACCTTCTTGGGCGTGCAGGGCTATTAAATGAAGCTGAGGAAATTATAAAAAAATTTATTCAAAAGAATAACAATGATAAGAAAATTGTTGTTACCCTTTATAGTTCCTTGCTTAGTGCTTGCAGAATCCATGGCGATGTTGATATGGGCGAACGGATTGTTGAAATTCTCGTGGGGATTGAATCGGGTGATTCCAGCACTCATACACTGCTGGCTAACATGTATGCTTCTGCCGACAGATGGGAAGATGTGTCCAAAGTCAGAAAGAATATGAAAGCTTTACACGTTAAGAAATTCCCTGGATGCAGTTCAGTTGAGGTTGAAGATCATTCTTGATTTCATAATCAGAGAAGCCAAGTGTTTGTGACATGCTCTTTTATTGAATCCGGTTTCATAGCATTTGTAAGCTGGAAATTGTATAATTAGGCAACATAGAAAGGAGCTCGAAATTGTACACTAGCGCAACATAGAAAACTAAACTGTTTTAAGCTTTATTCCATGACATATTACTCCCTTCATTAGTTCATTGTTCTTAAAGATGTGAATGAGAGCGTATATGAAAAGATGTTATACATGGGCCTTATCACCTTGTTCTACATTAATAGGATTTTGAGTCATGGTTTTATAATGTGTGGGCTGTGGCATGTTTAGATTTCATTGTGAAATTTGGGTTGGATGAATGGATGGCTGGGCCAACACCAGCTCAGTTGAGCAGTCCGTAAAATTTCCGATGACCTCATTTGCAATGTGAGTTTTTATAACCGCAGGCTGTATTGTTTCTGGCTGCACACATGACACATCTAGGGAAAGAAAATGGGGACTGCTATAGAGGCAAAATTAAGAAGGAAATTTGTGGGGCAATTTCTCATTCTGAAATGATAACAGCTTGTTCTTTATTGGACAATCATATTTTATAGCAGATAGAAGATGATCCAATTGGGGTTGAACTGCTGAGGAGTGAGGATTGCTTAAAATAATGGGGTTACTTATCATTCGTCAAACTATGGTCCAAACTCCAAATCCCTTCCATAAATAGAGGAAAATAAAACCAAGAATGCGATGAAGAAATGACAGTTCTCTCGAAAGAGTGAGCAACCATTATGACCGATTTTTTCAATTGCCAAGCATACGAAGTTATAACCATCTAATGCTTGGTTTGCATTTAAATGTAATTTTGCATACGGAGTTTACAGTCCGTATAGTAACTAAAAAAATTAGTTATATACGAGAGTTTAGTCATTTTACACTATTGGGATAATGTTAAAGGTGTGTTAGGCTTCCACTGCTTGAAGGGCAATCTTCTGTCTTCATTGGCAGATCAACACATACCAGAGTTTAGTCATTTTACATCTGGATTTCTAGTATCATTTGCAAAAACAATATGATCATTATCTCTGATCAATCCAATATCATCTATTTCTGCCCCTGATTTGCTCATAATCTTGGAAGGCAAGAAACCATACTTCTTAACCCCGATCTCTAGTAGCTCTTTGAAGCTCTTAGGTAGTAACACAACCTTTCCTGCAATGTCTCCTTTCTCGGGCCAACTAACTGTTACTCTAGTGCGGTAGGGATTTTCTGTTGTGGTTTCTTTCACGGGTAAGAGGATTGGTTGGTCAATGCTTTGGGCAGCCGACATTATACCAAACAGCGAGTTGTGGAAGCTGTTTGTCCTACGCCTGGGGCGAGACTGCCCCCCAAACGGTCCCTCGGCCTGTGTCGTGGGAGGCATTTTGGGCTCACTTTTGAACCTCCCGAGAAAGCTGACCCTACCAGGCGGGTCTTCAGGCACCGTGGTGGTGATGGATTGATCATTTCGGGATTCAAAGAGTGCAGCAATGTCTTCGTGCCCTTGTTGCTCAGCCAGATCTCTTGGGGTCCACCCGTACTCGTCTGGTTTTTGGATGGCGGCCCCGTGATCCAACAGGTATTTGACCATCTCGACGTTGCCTTCACAAACGGCATAGTGGAGAGCTGTCTTCGAGGGGCCATTGGTTCTTGGCAGGGTTACATCCCCACCACAACGGGTGATTTCTTTGAGGAGGTCAAGGTTGTTCTGCTCGGCAGCAATGCATGCGAACTGGCCAACGTCCCCAGCAGATATGTTTGCATCTTTGTTCAACAGTAGCTTGATGATCGGTTCATGTTTTCCCAAGATGGCTTCCCACAAGGGTATACTACCTTCAGAATCTGGATGCATTAAAAGAGAAGAAAGGTTCAAAACACAGGATAGATTAATTAGGATGGAAACATAACTGGTTGTACTGGTTCCTGACCTGCCCAAACCCTAATGGCATGGATTTAGGCAGGGTGGTCAAGCTAGAGGTGGGTCGGGGATGGAATAGAAGAACTCGTAACATGCTCATATTTTAGTGCAATACCCAACATATACCTACATATATTTCATACTGATACATACACATACAGGCACACAAACTTATTTACTAAAAAATACTTCATAATAAAATAAGGGGTTTTTCCTTATATATTACTAAAATTAAACTTATGAACAAAAACACGATTATAGTAACTTACTATTATGGTAAAGTGCATTTTAAAAGTTGCATGTTTTGTCTACTTTTTTGTTCTTTGTTATTTAATTGTCATTATTTAATAAAGTACAGTACAAACTACAAAGTAATATGCACACACACACACAATGTTTTATCGATCATACACACATATTCTAAATATGTATTACTCCCTTTCTCCCATGCTATACTGGACAAGCTTTAGTTCCTCGCGATGGAAAAGGAATTATGTGGTTCAGAAAAAAATTGTGAATTATGTCACTAGAAGGAACACGAGGAATAACATAGCGTATCAAAAGGAATTGAATGGAAGCACCTTTAAGGTTGGGATTGGCTCCAAAGTCAAGAAGATGAACGACACAGTTTTCATATCCTTTGGATGCTGCTATATGCTGATATTAATGCAAAAGGGACAAAGAACACCACAACATAAGAAAGGATGAAATGAAAAATAAAACGGGATTGTATGGAGAAAAGGAGGGGCTCCAGAATGCTGAGAGTTAGTTAACGCACAAGAGCGGTTCTCCCATTGTTATCTGATTCGTTTGGGTCTAAACCCCTCTTCAACAAGTGATGCAACAGCAAATCGTCTCCTCTTTGCGTTGCGAAGCTAAGGGTCAGAGGTAACTCCATTCTTCCCCTTGCTAACATATTTTCTGTCTCTAACAGAACTCCTTCCATTATTGGGTCATCCTTCATCTCCTTCAGGTGCTGTTCAATCAGCAAAAGAAAACTGCTAACATTATAGATTCCTGTTGTTTTCAGGTTAATCAGAATAGTCTCTCCTAATGTTTGGTCAAATTACCAAGTGATCCTCAAAATTTTATTCAACTAAAAATTAACTCATTGGATTTTCAAATTTTCTGTGAACATTCTTGAAAAGAATAATACCCTGTAGGATATAATGTTTTTAAAAGGATTTTTTTCAGACAAAATAGATTACTATTAATATTTGTTTAGTCAAATCTTTTGGAGAGAGAGCTTTATATTTTATATTATAATTGATAAATACATTTAATTATTTAAAACATTAATTTAAATCTAAAGATGCACAATTCTGGTTCATATCATTATATTCTTTAATCTTTTAGTGCTAAAAAGGTTGTTGGCTGAAAACCCAACCGGTGCCTAAGTAAAAGGGCTGCACATTGAGACCTGAAGAAGATTGTTCATTATTATGGTCCCATCACCAACGTTAGCCTTAATGATATTCAGAAACGTGGTTCGGTTCATCCGTAGAAGTTGACTCAAACGTTTCGTCCGTACTGTGAATATCTGTGGCCTATAACACAGAACCCCTATCTCGCCACATAGATCTCCCGCTTTTGCCTCCCCGGCAACCTGTTCAGTTCCATTTTTAAGAACCAATAGATCCTGCCAAATAATTCATATTTCAGATAGATTTCAACAACACTCTACCTCACTTTTACTTAGTTGACTACTTGACGGTTAAAAATCTAGGACACAAATCAAGAATCTGATTAGACACCGTAAAACATTACTTCGTTAGTTACTTTTTATCGTTCTTCACTGATTTAATATGTTTGTCCCTTTTCATTTTCCCTATATTTACTTTTTTTTTTATTATAAAAAAGAGTAATTAAAATAACATTGAAATGATGATTTTTTTGGAAAATATAAAAAACTTTGATCAAATTATCAATCGGATACTTTTTTTTGAATGAGAAATCAACTAATAATCTAAAACAATAGTTATCTGGGACGATGGTGGAGGAATTAAACAAAAAAAATTCAAAACCTCAATTGTAACATTTATATTTTAAATACAATAAAAAGAATAATAAAAATTACCACAGCTCCAGTCACTAGAATATAGAAATCTGTGGGAGCTTCATTTTGCAGGATTACATCTTCCTTGGGTGGAAAGTACTCCGGTTTCATCTCCGAAACCTTTGAAATTATAACATATTGTAAACATCAATCAAGTTTCATCTAACTCACATAATAATGATAATAGGAAAATATACGTACAAGTTGGAAGAGTAAATCATTTGATACCCCGTGGAAAAGGTAGGCCTTGTCGACCATCGAATAAAAGAGGAAATTTGATATGCTTGACCTGATGGCTTTGGGAAGGGACTCAAGAGTCTCTTGCTGCTGGATCCCCTCTGAATCTGTTCTAAACTTTAAGCACAAATGTGCAAGCATCTGGTCTTGAAGACGAACTGGCAAATGATTCCTTTGAGCAAAACTTGATGCGGCTTGAATGGTGTCTCTCTGTTAGTGGAAATTAGAGATATAGTTAACTTCAGCCCTATAGTAAGAATATAAAAAGTTAAACTGTTTTGGATACTATTTTGTTAGTTCTTCTGCTAGCTTAGATAGTTTTGATACATTGTATTATGTTAATTTTTGGGTGTTCTTAATATACTTACATTTCATCCAAAAAAAAAGTTAAACTGCTATATCAATACAATAAACAACCATATACATAATCACAAACTTATATTAAGATATAGACTTCTCCCTTCGAAACCTTCCATCCAAATATAACCTAAAGAGTTAATCATCATTCAAAAAATATGATTAGTTTTGCTCACAAATTGCCTGGTCTTGCTGGTGCCATGGACCACCAAATTAGTCATGTTTCCTATCAAGTAAGAAGTAAGCCCCAAGTTGAAGAGCATGTAGCAAATGTCAAAAATCATCTCCTGAGTATTCACTGCATGTAGGTCACCATAACCAACAGAAGTGAGGGTTGTGATCGACCAATATATTGAAGTAATGTAGCGAATCCATAGGCTCTTATGAAGGAAGTCTTCCATAGATGCCCCTATCCATGTCATCTTTGGGTCACGATAATCAGCAGCCAGGAGATAATAGGAGCATCCAGCACAATGTACAGCAAATAAAGTAACCTGTAAAAATCATGTATGATGTTATCCAAGAGTGTGTGTGCATACAGATCTGATAATGTGCTCAGATCTGATAATGTTGACATTTTTTTATTGGAGTGCTAGGGTAGATATTTGAAAAAATTAACTTTAATGTGTCAAAAACCATTTTATATGTTTTGTATATGTATTTTGTACGAAACGATGAGAAGGTGAAAAGGCAAATTTAGCTTACACATATAAGCTTAGCACAACGAACCCAGAAATAATTGATTTTCCTATCTTTCTCCAATCTGCGTAAAGAAAAAAAAACAGATTAGTTGTGATTGGACAAATCACATTGCGTTTTGGAAGTCCAAAACCTTGCAGGAACTTTTCTACACTTGTATTACATCAATGGTCTCTCAGATTTCTTGTGTTTGCATGCAAGACTTTAGGGAGAAGGAACAATACACAATTTTAACTATATGTGAGAGAACATATATACCCTTCAACTTTCTTTGAGAACAATTAAACACAAAAATTATAAAGCTTGAATAAGTGTACTATTATGTCAAGAAACAGTTGAGGGTATATATTTTCCCTCATAAATAGTTCATGGATATGCATGTGTGTGTGTTTTCTATCTAATATACACTTCAAGAGTATAGTACTCCCTTCATATTTAAATACTTGCAACACTTCAACTTTCGTTCCGTATTAAATACTTGCAACATTTCCTTTTTGATCTGTATGTAAATACTTCCAACACTTTCCCTTTATGTATATTTTTCATTTAAAAATACCTTAATACCTTTAAGTTTGCTACTCGCTTTTGCACTTTTTCATCTGTCTCTCATACTTCTTAGTTCTTACACTTTTTCGATGCTATTCGCTGCCCTACTATTTCACCCAGAAACTCTGTGCAAATGCCTAATGTTGCAAGTATTTATCCAAGGAAGGAGTAGTATATAATATGTATGTTTTAACTTTATAGTGTTTGTGTTTACTTGTTCTAAAAGAAAGTTGAGAGGTATATCTGTTTACTGATGCTCATGGACCGTCATGGTCATATTTGTTTAATCAAATATGAAGTTAGAGGTCCTCTTTGGTAGCATTAATTGCCTCATTTTATTTTACTCTTTTTTCCTGTTTATCATCTAGATTTTCATGAAACACTGAAGTGTAGCTGCATCAACAGATAATGAAAGAAAAAGTATTGCATGTGTTACTTTTAAGCTTAAGTGGCTAAAATTAATGAAAATGATACTTCAAACTTCCTAGTGATAATCCGCATCATTTTATTTATTAAAATGATGATTAGAAAATTCGGACTATCTCTAATAGCCTTTTATTTGCTTTATGACAGAAACAATGTTTCCTAATCTTTTTCTTTTCAAAAAACTCATTCAGCAGATTCATCCATTTCAGGCAAATAAAGCTTACCAAACAAACCCTACAAAAAAAGGAGCCAAAGAACTTGCCTGGAAAATAAAGCACCGACCCTGCGGAGACGCCAGAGGCGAAGTATATTGAATAATCCATATGATCTTAGAGGTTTTGGCATGATTTTTTTGGCCAGCTCCGAGGGGATTGTGGATATGACATCAAATGCCAACCAAGTACTCCCATACTTCCAAGCAATCTGTTTTCTGTCATCAACTAGAAGATATGTGGTCTTATCCAGGTATGCCACAAAGAAGGTGAGCACTATATCTATTGCATAGATTCCATTGACAACATTGTCAATAATAGACAATGGCCCTTCTGGCTTTTTAAGAAAGCCGAATTCAAAAGGAGACGCCCATGCTGTGTAGATGACCAGAACTACCAGAAAGGTTTCCCATATCCTGAAAACATTGTTGGTTTAGTAGAAAGTGCATGTTGGAACCAGTTTGAGTACAAATGTAATTTTCCTACGTTTAGAGAGTTTTAGGTCACTTTTGGTTCTTCCACGGTCACTTTTTCACTGATTATTAACCCGGATTGTATGTAAATGGACGGTGAGTTACGTGTCTGAAAGCGCCGAGGAACTCATCGTCAAATGCTAGTGGGAAAAAAGAATGCAAGGGACTAAGGATGGTAATGCATTTTAGCTCCCGACTTTCATTTGATCGCTTTCTTTCATTTAATTGCTTTTGGTGCACTATTGCGCATTCTTTGCAAATTTTGGTCCGTTTTAGCAACTTATCCTGAGAAAAATTGCATTCGAAGGACCAAAACTGAAAAAGATCCATGGATATGCACCAATAGTGAAAAAATAAAAGCTATAGACCAAAATTGGAAAACGGCAAACTATTAGAATTGAAAAATTCTATTTGTACCTACCCTTATATCCATTGGACCGCCACCCTTACACCCACAGATGTAAGAGGCTATTTTTTGTTTTCAAAGTAAGACATGTTTTGGTGGGTATAAGGGTAGGTATAAGTAGGGAAGGAATCGGGCCGGGCGGTACCGGTTCTTGAAAAGTGGAGCCTGGTACCGACCCGGTAAGATCTGGTTCCAGATTGGGCCCAAACAGTACCGGACCTGGGCCCGGGTTGGCACCTACAAATAACACATTTAATTACTCCGTTTTTTTAAAAAAACAGCGTTGGCCGGGCCCAAAAACTCAAGCCTGAAGCCCCCATTCTACCATCGGTCCGGGTCCGCGAAAACTGGGTCGGGCCTAAATGGTACCGGTCTTGGGCCGGTCCTGGGTCAAGCTGCCCGGACCCAGTCCATCCCTAGGTATAATGATGGCCTGATGGGTATAAGGATCTGTACACATAGTAGGGCTGACTAGAATTTTGTTAGAAATTGGTAGTAGACTAGTAGGTATGAACTTTTGTAAATGATTATCAGAATTAACACCTCGTGAGTCGTGAGTCTCGTGACGACGGATAGTTGACAAAAACTTTATTCGCTCTAAACTGTGAAGTCTAAATGTCTAATCCCCCACTTTTCTAATTTTCAGGTATTCAGGATTTATTTCCTATAGTTGTAAGAAATGTGCGCGCATAACTGTTTGTTGTTTGATTGTAAATGCAAGAATCATGCCACGAATTGTGCAAAAAGGGCAATTTGGAATCGATGAAGAGATAATTAGTCTGGACACAATGTCAAAGAAAAATGATGATTTTAAACCACTTCTAGGGACTTTGATAAGCCTCAATCAACGGAATCCGCAATCGCTTTTTGAATTCTTCCAATCATCATGCCATATGTGGGAGCTTTAAACTTTGTTCGTGTCCTAAAACTTCCTACTTGTGGTGGAGCTAAAAATATACTTCGTACTATCTCCATCTCTAAATTAAAATCTTAGTTTGACTGCATACATAATAAAGAAATGAATTTAGTGAGTAAATTTTTCAGTATAGTAAATTTTATTGCAGAGTACACTGTTTTGACACCGTTTAACACTATTTTGCACTGTTTGATATAGATTTGTTTACCTAATAAGGAAGTAAAACTTTAGTTTAGAGAATCTCAAAAAAAAGTGTGAGACTTTAATTTAGGGATGGAAGGAGAAGTAAAAAAGAAAACTTTTTATTTTCTTTTTGGTCAATTCCACTAAGATACTCTCATGCTTCGTACAAATATGAAAGTTTATACAATTTTAAATCATTCTTACTTTATTTATATTTTATTAATTCAAAATCAATCACATAAAATCATCTTTTTAATAATTGTATCATCTTTTTTTAATGATTGAAACTTTTTTTTTACAGATTATGTATAAGAATTTTTCCTTACTGGGAAGGTGAGCCCCCCGCTCCTAGCCGTCTTCATCATGCTATCTACCTTCGTCTAAGCTTTCCATAGATGTGTGGTCTCTCTAATGGGTCTGTTTTTTCATTTGTGTTTCTGAAAAGAAGAGTGAAAAGCTTTTTGGGAAAAGTGAATGTTTGTTGAAATTATGAAGAAAGACAGTAGTAGGATACTTTGAATTGGTCTGAAATATCCTAATTTGCGCTAATATCATTTCATATTATGTTACTTTTCTTGTCGAGGACATATTTGTAAATAATGGTGTAATATACATCATATTATGGTTCACATATGAAATTTCATTTTCATTTTCCGTTGAAGTTATTGTTTTATTGTAACACATTTTTAAAATAATACTCCGTTATCAATAATTGTATAAAATTATACCACACTCAATTTGACCAAGCCATACTAGATTATTAGGACTAGATTGAATTGAATAAATCTAATTGGACCATGCATGCCGGACCATTACAAACTAGACAAAAAATGTACCAAAGTAGAGTGGATTACATCAAATGTAACTATGGAAACAATTACATTTTTTTATGTAGTCCACTCTAGTTTGGTACATTTTTTGCCTAGTTTGTAACGGTCCTGCATGCATGGTCCAATTCGATTTGTTCAATTCAATCTAGTCCTAGTAATCTAGTATGGCTTGGTCAAATTGAGTGTGGTAAAGTTTTATACAATTATTGATAACGAGTATTATTTTTAAAATATGTGTTACAATAAAACTCACCTGGTAGGAAGTGATGAAATAGTGGGTTACACTATTTCTTCACTTATATTCATCATCGGGCTTACAATACCGATACCGATGATGGGTATAAGGGTCGGTTCATCACTTGATTCTGAAAGTTTTCACAATTTTATCTAGATTTCTTCAAATTTTATTTTTTAGAGCTTCTTAATATAAAAAACCTACTATACAGGTCAAAAACGGAATAAATGGTCAAATTGATCAATATTTAAACTAAATGTACTTATATGACTTTTTTTTAGTATAGTGGCTTAAGTGATGTATTAGAAATTATAGAATGACTTATGTGACCCTTATTTCAATAATAGTTTTAAGAAACATACAACCAAAGAAATTGGATCTTGTGAAGGATTTTGACCATCCTACAAAATCCAAATGAGGCCATAACAGCTGAGTAAGACCTCGTGCTGTATTGTTTTTTCTCTTATCGTTTTTTTGTTTTGTTTTTGTTTCAGCATAATGAGAATATTTAAAAGAAAGTATGAAATCAAAATGTTTTATGTTTTTTGTACTAGGCAATTTCCAAAAGTAGGATGATTCATATAATCATATAACTATGTAAGTACAGTTTTTTGCTCATACATGTATGTATAATTAATTTTTAGTTCATTAAACGACAACATCTAAATCTAGAAAATGGGCCCTCATATTCAAAGTTGATTTTATTGACTTAATTTAAGAGCATTCCATATTTCCATGTATAGGATCAGTCAAACTGGGTATGTCGTAGCTTCCCTAAGATGGAAATATTCTCCCATTTTCACCTAGAATGACCCACTAAAGCACCAAAATGCTATCGGAAAAAGGAAATTAAAGAGATAACAATTCATGTGCCTAAATTAAAGATATGTTTTTAAATACTCAGTACATCTGTAAAACTAATACTACCTAAATAAATTAAGAAAAGGCATTACTATCTAAAAAATATTGATAGATTCCTCTCATTTAATATTTTCAAAACATGAAATTTTTAATTTTTTGCTAATAAAAAATGAAATATATTAATGGTTAAACTTGTATGTTGACAAATGTGAAAAGTGAACCGTTACAACTAAAAAAGAACGAAGAAAGTACAAGCATAAAACACTCGTAAAGAAAAATGCATCTCATTACAACTAAAAAGGGACAAGCATAAACATTCGTAAAGAAAATGCATCTCATTTTTAACGCTTAATGGCCATACCGCAATAATAATTCAATTCTTTTTTTCAATAGATTTTAATTGTAGCTTCTAAATGTTAAAATTTAAATATTTTAAAGGAAAAATTCACTATATGGACAGCAGTAACCACTGTCCCGCCGACGAACAAAATATATTATTCTTTAGTCATATTAAAATTAATAAGAAGATGCATATTAAAACTAAAGTTCATCGAAAAAAGTTCAATCGAAAAAGTAATCATGATCTTATACCTAGTATACTATATTATTCTTTAGTCTTGTTAAAACTGGACTATTTCTTTTTTATGTATCCTATTAAATTTATTTCATACCATATTAATTATTACTACATACTTTATTCACATCATAACAACTCAATACCAATCGTTTCATAGAAGTGGTAGTGTGGTATTATATTGTTATATACTAATCCCTTGTGAAAATTTTCTTAAATATGAATAAAGAAGTCTTACACATTTTTTACTGGCCAAATTGTGGAGTAGCATACGACTCTCTTATGAGTCATATGACATAGGTGGACATATCATATCCACTCATTCGTAATGTGGAACTCTCTACTGTACAAATGAATAGTTATTGAAGAGCCACATATGTTCATATGACTCCATAAAAGAATCGTATGCTACTCCATAAAAAATTTTTCATTTCTTACCATCATTAGTTGCTACAGATTAGGAGAACACTTGAAGCTCTGAATTGGAAAATATACAGAACAAAGATTAAAAAAAAACTACAGGGCAATAAAGGGAAACCTGTAGCGGCGGTCGTAGGGGGAGACGGTGAACCGGCGGAGCTGGACTCTGCAGCTGCTCCGAGCACCGAGAGAGGGGAGGATTCCGGTGGTGAGGCTGAAATGGCTGTCGTCTCTGGACAACTCTGTTTCCTGTGCTACGCCACACATCGGAGCTCCAAAAATGCCTCCTCTTCCTCTTCTTGTTCTGTTGCTTATAATATCCTCCGCCATTGTTGCTGTTCTTACAACGCCTGCATCTTTCTGCTTTTCCCTTTTAGCTTACAACTTTAATGATGCAATGTTCAGCTTTATATATCAAGATGTCAGATTTTAAATGAATATAAATCATAAATATGGCATGGATTGATATTCTTACCATAATGCCTTTTGCGGTAATCGAAAATTAGAAACTCAATCTAGAAACATAAGATACTTCCGTCCCTCCCATTAAATACTTTTCGTTTTGACCTGTAGACTAAACATTTATTAACTAGCTCTAAATTGCTAACAAATTATACTGCATTGCATACAAAGTAAATCCCGCCTTTGAGATGAAGTTTTATGGATTTTATTATGATGTTGGTATAGTAATTCTTGTTTAATACTTCGTAGTAATGACCAATTATGCAAGCTGATTCCATTACTAATAAAAAAGGTAAATTTCAAAAAACTATTGTTATGTTTTTCATTTCAAAAAGAAAACATTATTATCATTATCATGATTGAAAAAGATTGGTGAAAGATAAGGTCACACAGGGCCGGCCCAAAGGGTGTGTCAGCGGTGCGGCCGCACAGGGCCCAAATTTTCAAAAGCCCTCCTTTAGTATCACAACAAATAGAGCCCAATTTTCAGATTCGATGCTTCACAATTAAAAATTTTTAACACCAGGAGATTCAAACCCTGGTGGGTTTCTTACCCATGAGGACAGTAAACCGGCTCAACCATTAGGCTGTTGTTAACATCCTCTCAATTTGTAGTTTTATATCATATAAAGTATAACTAGAAACTCATTAGATTCTAAGCTTATATATGCCATTCACTACAATTATTAATATTAATTTGTAATTATAATTATAACTACTTTTATTTTTTATTGCATGCCATTATTAAATTAACAAACTATTAAATATGTATCAAATGCTCATTACGTCTATCAATTATATTGATGTTAGGGAATAGTTTTATTTTAACTATTGATTTATAATTCAATTTAACAAATAAATGAAGTGTATTTTGTTAGGGAATAGTTTTATTTTAACTATTATGTTGGTGAATAACTTGTATTTTGATATATATGAATTATTATTGTAGCAAATTTTTACAAATATAATCTTCACTTATATTATATTTCTACCTATTTTAGGAAAAAGCCTACATTTTATTTTTGCACAGGGCCCATATTTTCTTGGGACCGGCCCTGGGGTCACACTAACATTGAAAAAAGATAAGGTGACACGATTATTAAAAGATGAGTTTACGTGGTTGATATTAAATTGATAAAGTAAGAATAAAGTAAAAATTATTTAGAACCACATAAACTTTACAAAATTTAGTACTCCCTCCGTCCCATATTTATCTTCATTCTTTCCTTTTCGGCTTGTCCCAAATTTATCTCCTTATTTTTTTTAACAAGTTTTACCCTATCCATTTACCCTAATACCCTTATACATCTACCCACATTTATTACTCCTAATTAATCTAACCGGCCACCACCAGCCACCCAACCATACATATCCCCACTTTTTACGCTCCTCTCTCTCATGCCTCACTGTATTCCTCTCTCGTCTCTTCTTGAACTTTCTCTCTTTCTTGTGATTACATACGCTCCTCTCTCTCCTCTGCCTGAACTTTCATCTTCTCCCCTCTAACTCCATCTTCCCATCTATCTATTCATCAACCATAGTTTCCATCTTCGAATTTGAGCAACCTGTGTGAAGTCTTCTCCACTGACACCAGATTTGAAATTGTAGATCCATTAATGGCGGAAAAAACCTCAATCTTGGTCTTGCATGGCGGTGCGGTGGTTGAAGACTCTGACGATGCCTCCTGTTGTCCCGATGTTGTCCCTGATTCCGAAGATGATCTGACATTCATGAGGATTGAAGACAGTGAAGAAGGAGATTGGAGCGATGGTGGCCAGAAAGTTGAAGTATTACAAGAGGGGTTGCAGTCGGACACTATGGAAACCAGGATTCCAGCCTCCATTCAGGCCATGGTTGCCATTTACCTTCGTCCTGTAGATACAACGACAGAGGAGTATTTTCCACTTGCGTATCTTCCTCCGCATCTAGACCCAAAAGTTCAACAGGGCCTTGATGAATTGCTTAAAATATGGCTACCTCTTTACAAAAAATGAAGGTCGTACATCCCCTACTTACTGATCTTTTCATCTTCTTCTGTCGGTGCATGGACTTGTAATGTCCATTATATGATGCCTGCATATTTTCATTTGCACAGATGCTGATATGTGTGTCCTGTGATGGCCTAAGGTAGTCCCTGTCCTTATTCTGTGATGATATTTAAAGTCTGAGAGTCCTATTTGTCGATGCCTATGCGTGTGCCCCACTTTCCTATTGAAAGACTGCCTTAAGCATCCGGGATAATCGTATTGAAAGACTGCCTTATGGATTCTGTGATGCATTATGAATTGTGAGAGTCCTATGTGTTGATGCCTATTTGTGTGCCCTTGTTGCCTAAGAGATGATTGTCTTAAGCAACCAAGATAATCCTAGGGAGGCTTAAGGCAGCCCTCTATGGATTATGTGATGCATTTTAAACTGTGAGAATCCAATTTGTTCATGGACTTCATGCCTATGTGTGTGCCCTTGTTTCCTAAGAGCTGACTGCCTTAAGTAGCCAGGATAATCCTAGGGAGGCTTAAGGTAGCCCTCTATGGATTCTGTGATGATACATTATAAAATCTGAGAATCCTCTTTTGCTTTGATGATGAAAGTCTGCTTGTATATTCAAAAGATAAGACAAGATGCCATCATAGCTTATGACAGTGTTGTTTGTGTACATTATTTATATGTGTACCCCAAACCCAAAAAGAAAAAAATCCAAAAAACTATCTGTCTGTAGCTAGTACACACAAAAACTAAAAAACCCAAACATATTTGTGCCTTGTCTGCTTTTATACAAAAACCCTTTTACCTTTAATTCCAAAAACCATCTGCCTGCCACCTATTCCTCAGCATTAACGCCCTCCAAGAATTGCATCACCTCTTTCACTATTGTTGTGTCTGCATTCATTGAAGTAGGTAGTGCCCTCATCCCTTCTAATCTGTCCTTACCAATATGGGGTATTTTGTAGTTGTTCCCACCCTTAGCATTCAAAAATTCATTCATACACAGTTGTAGTGATATCCATACCTTGTTCAAAGTATGAGGGTTGAACTCTTCAAATGCTTTCCTCACCCCTGCCACCAAGTCTGAAACTGTTGAACTTCTTGTTGTTTGTTGTAAGGACTGAACTGCTCTAAAAAACCCTAGGTCTAGAACATTTACATCAAGACTATTAGTTGGTAGGCATGATAGTTTGATGTTAAATCCCTCACTAGTAGCCTCCTTCATGAACTCACTGTCATCAGGACTTATATGTGGCCTGACATTATCTTGTTGTATATATGTCCCCAGATGCATCAATTGGCCACTTGGCCTTGATGGCAGGCAAAACTTTACTGATTAGGCATTGTCTGTAAATATCTTTTATTACACTGTCAATTGTCTTTTCTTCAATTGTCCCTGCAATTCTGTTTTTGCTGTTTCTTTTTGCTGGCCAAATGATGTGAAGGGAAAAATACCAATTTTCCCATCAAATAAGACTTGTGAATCTTCTGATAACCTGGGCCTAGCAACAACACGGAGGAACATCACTTTGGTGATGAACATCTTGGACTTGCAAGTCCTGTGAGGTTCCTCCTTCCCTGGAAGCAGGTAGTACCTATTTGAGGTTTTGGTCATATAAAACCATTTTTCATCTACATGCACGTAGTTAAACATGGGCTCATACACCGGTTGTGTTAACATTGATTCTGGGACAATGTGTGAAATGATTCATTGAAGTCTGTTAATAATGTTTGACTCAGTAAGAAAGGGTTAGATAGCATTTGTGTGTGCCTTTATTTCACCTTTTTGTATTAGTCTGTGCATAGTACTTTTTTATGAGCCCATGGCTGTAGCTAGACTCCTGATATTCTTTCTTTTATCAAGCTCTATTTTCTTAACATGAGCAATAGGTAGAACCTTTGTTTTTCTACCTACCTTTCCAGCCATGTGTCTGTCCACATTAATAGGTAAACCTTCATCTGACATTTCTTTACTTGTTTCCAAATGAATGAGATACACCTTTGTGACACATCATTTTCTATTGGAAGTGCAGTTAGAACTCCTCTGTTGAGCTTACCATTTGAGCAGTTGACGAGAAGATGATGCATGATCCGTTGCCTTGTTTCATTGGACAACCTTTTCTTTTTTGGAACAATTTCTGCCATTTGTTTGACCTTACCTCTTTGTTGTTTGTACTTTCGCTATTTTGAGAAAGGCTTGGTTGTATATATAGACTGAAATCTGTGGGGTTTTTATTTTTTTGGAGGGAGTGGACAAATTATTTGGAAATCCCGCCACTAGTTGGTTCTTGTGTTTTTGTTGTGGCCGCTACTTTTTAATTGGAGTACTGTACGTAGCAGTCCAAAAAGGCTGCTACCTTTTTATTGGAGTACTGTTTATTACCCCTTTCTTGGCTTATTACCCCTTTTCTTGGCTAATTTTAATGAGATTTCTTGAAAAGGTAATATGAGACAATCTTAACGGGATAAAGAGAGTACAATTAATGACTTCACTTAGGCTCCTTTAGGTTCATATAATTATTAGTTAAACCAACTTGTAAATAAAAAAGCCTTCATACTTACAATTACATTTAGGATACATATAACAACTCAACAATTACTCAACGAGGTTTTTCTACCATGAAAATTACTAAGACTAGACTACATTACTCTTCACAATAAGATGGAAGATATACTTTTGTATAAATCGTCTGCTAGTGTATGTTAAGAAGCAAATTGCCAAAAAAAATAGGGTGAACTCTTTTATAGATTATTCTCGTGACATGGAGGAGAGACATTCTAAATTTTAATTCACGTCTCTTCAAATTATGTAATTATGAATAATTTAATTAAATATTATGACTCCGTAATACATAATTAGATGTTAATTTCAATTTTTTTACCCGGTTACTATTCTAACGATAAATGACATTCGCTTTAGTTGACTCACTCACTAATTTCTAGAAAGATAAAAGGTGAAAGAACGTAATGAGGACGCCATTGAGGAAGCTACTACCTTAAAGTGATTCCGCACATTCATACTCGTGAAGGAGGCAGGTTGAGGAGTTCTATACAGCAACTAACATGATAGCTGAAATATACTGCGCTATTTAACTGCGCAGTTATCTCCAAAAAATCATTTGACAGCCTTCCCGGTTGAATTTTTAGTTGAAATTTGGTATGTGTAAACTACACTTAATGAAGAAGATACTCAAACAATCTAATCAAAATATTCCACCGCGAACCGCCCCAAATGACGACGGCCGGAGAGAGCCTTCTAATTTAATGGAAAACATGTCTCGAGGTTTTGAGCCATAAGCTTCAGGCATTTTAAATCCCCTGGGAACTTTCATATAAATGGGGATAAGGGTCAGTTTGGTCCTCGAAGTTGCAAAAAAGGGGTCAAATAAGTCCTTATAAAGAAGATTTTGTCCGGACGCCCCATTTGAGGTGGCTTCCGGTGGAATTTTTTGATGAAATTTTTTGACCATCTTATTCATTAAGTCTAGTTCACTCATACCAAATTTCAGATAAAAATTCAATCGGGAAGACATTCAAATGATTTCTTGAAGATAACTGTGCCGTTATAAGCGCAGTTATCTTCAAGAATTCATTTGAATGTCTTCCCGATTGAATTTTTAGCTTAAATTTGGTATGAGTAAACTAGATTTAATGAATAAGATGCTCAAAAAAATTTATCAAAAAAAAAACCACTGGGAGCCACCTCAAATGCCACGTCCGAACAGAATCTTCTATATAAGAACTTATTTGACCCCTTTTTTGCAACTTCGAGGACCAAACTGACGCTTTATCCCATATAAATGTCTGTATCGGGTGAACCGTATAAATATGCAGTCACTACACCCATTAGGCGCATTTGCAGCCTTTAAAAAACAGACATGCCAATAAGTTGAGTGCTTATTTGGTAGTTCTCCAACGTCTTTTTCTTTTTGCCAATCTGTCCTCAACTACGGTTGCTACAGACCCTCCGTCCTATTCCTCTCAATTTTACTTAGAAAAATAATGACCGATATACTACTATCGACTTAAGCATGGACGGAAATAGGTCCTAAATTCAATTTGGACAAAACTAGGACTAAATATTAGTAAATGGACAGAAAGACCCTTCCTTAACCTTACCCATATTGTCTCTCGTCCGCTTCAGTCTTCAACAGCTTCGCTGTGGACCAGGTCGCCGCATCTCCTTCATCTGCTATTACCGATGTTCTCTCACCGCAAACAGCTCCTCTCATCGCCAATCAGGTCCTCTCGCTGCAAATTAGCCCCTCTCGCTGCCGGTTTCTACGTCACTGTTGCGTTGTCGCACCTCCTCTTCGGCTCTTCTTCACAGTCCGCGTCACACCCTTCGCCGCCGCGCGCTGCCGCACCACGCCACCGTCTACTATCTCCGACCGCATCCTTAGTACTCTATTTTCTTCTTCTCTGTCTCTACCATCTTCCTCCGCCCATTGAAATCTAAATCCGCGACTAGGGTTAAAATCAGCATCAATTACAGCTCTTCAATATTTTGCAAATTCAGAATTGGGATGAGCACTGGAAATGTTGTGTTTCGATTTTGCAGATTCGATGTTAGATCTACAGTGGTGCTCGAATTTTTGCAGATTCTGGAACTAATTTGTACAGTGGTCGCGTTGCGGCGTCCGCGGGACTGGGTTGATGGTAGTTGCAGGGCCGTAGAAGGGAGGGCATAGGGGGCTGGGGTGTGGTGGTGCCGGAGGGACAGGGTGTTCGGGTGTCTCAGGGGAGGGGGCTTGGGTAAAGCAGAGAAGGGGGATGGGGTGGGGGAGGGAAGGGGGCTTGGTTGGGGGAGAAGGCTGGGGTGTAGTGTTGGCGGCTGACGGTTGCTGGCGGTGGCCGAAAGTGAGTGTCGCCGGCGGCGGTCGATGGCAGTTGCTGGTGGTGGTGGGTGGTGTTGGCCAGCGGTAATTATTATCGGATCCAGGCAATTGTAAATGTTCGAACCCGAAAATTGTAACTGTAGCTGAACGGATCGGATAACTGTAACTGGACGAGTCGGGTAACTGTAACTGGACGGGTCGAGTAACTATAACTGGACGAATCACGTAACTGAAATTGATATAATCGAGTAACTGTAACTGAGCGGGTTTGGTAACTGTAACTGGACGAGTTGGATAACTGTAACTGGTAGACGATGGTCATTGTGGCAGTGGTCACTGCACGAGAATCACTATAAAAATTTATCACCGAGCGGATGTCACTTTGTCAATTGGTCACTGAACAAAAGTCACTACACATTTGATCACTGTGATGCGGGTCATTGGTGGGGCATATTATTTTTTGGTCACTGGATGAATTTTGTAACTATGTCATTGGTAACTGTAACGTTGGTCACTGCACATTTGGTCACTGTGACGGGTTACTGTAGCAGGCCGGTGGGTTGGGCTTAGTAAGAGTGTAATAGTCCCTTAAGTATTATTTAGTCTTATTTTTGGAACTTAAAAGAAAAGTCTTTTTTTTGTGCGAATGCTTTTAATTAGTATTATTTGAAGACAAACCCCTTTTAGTTAACCAACACCTCCCCCACCAGCCCCATATCCTAACACACTGCTCCAACTCCGCATGACCGCATACTCATGCCCTTCCTCCCACCAATATAGACCACTTGACTGCTGCTACCAGGTCTTCCCATACTCTTGTGTTCCCTTCTGCCACTGCACCTGGAAGGCTGGAACCATCCCTCAAGACACCACTCACAGTACGTCACTCCCCCCAATCTCATAGCAGTCCAACCTCAACACCACCCACATCATACATCCACTTCCCTGCCACGTCCCAGCTGGATCAGCCCACTCCCAGCGCTGATTCTGGTGTTTCTTTGGCCAAATCTATCCCCTCGACCCTACCAGTCCATTCGACCCAGCAAGCCCCCGACCAGCATCTCTCATCCACCCAATCCCTTGATAATATTCACCCAATGCAAACTCCGGATAAATAAGGCGTTTTCAAACCCACATTCATTTTTTAATTTAAATAAATACGGTTGTTATGTTAGTTGATCCTACTTGTTTTTCAGCGGTCAATAAATTCTTAAAATGGCGTGAGGCCATGGTGCTCGGAATTTAATTCTCTCATTACTAATCATACTTGAGATTTGATACCGTTTGATAATTCTAAAAATATTGTGGGGTCTAAGTGAATTTTTAAGACAAAATTTCATTCTGATAGATCTATTGAACGCCATAAGGCTCGTCTAGTTGATCAAGGATTTAATCAGCAGGCCACCACTGGCTTTGCAGTATTTTTAGGCCCGAATCTTGTCTTTTGGAAGTCTAAAAAGCAGCCTACAATCTCCAAATCCTCCACAGAAGCAGAATATAGAGCTATTGCCTAGCGTGACATACACTGTTCATGACACGTTGCACATTCGTTCTATTCTCTATGTGCTCGGGTTCCCAGTTCGAGTACATGTTCAACTTTTTTGTGATAATATTTCTGCCTCTTATTTGACTGCTAATCTTGTTCAGCATGCCCGGAGCAAGCATATTTAGATTGACTATCATTTTGTTCGAGAACGTGTGGTTCACGTCGATCTGATTGTGAAGTATATTCCTACTCAATTACGTGGCTGATATTTTTACTAAAAGTTTATCTAGTCATCAATTTCAATTTTTTAAAAGACAACCTGAACGTTGCATCTCCCACACAGTTTGAGGGGTGCAATAGACTATCTATATCAGGAATCCTTTGTTTTTTGGGAAACTTCTCTTTATTATAACTATATCTATCAGGGCCCTCATTACGGTAACCTTTTTCATTATTTCACACCTAGAACCCCAAACCCGAAAATATTTTAAATTTGGCGCTTTCTTGTACCAAAGCTCATATGAGATTGTCTTGTTCCGTTTGTTAGGAACCCTATTCAAAACATAGCAAACCGTGAGCATGACCTCTCCCCAAAACCCTTCACTCAAACCCGCGCAGGAAAGCATGGAGTTAACCATTTCTTGTTAAAACTCGATCTTTCCGTTCGGCCACACCATTTTGTTGTGGTGTATATAGAGTCGTGGTCTCATGAATAATTCCAACAGATTCAAAATAATGGGAATCCATACATACTCTTCTCCGATCAATCCAAAGACAATTAATTAGATTACCCAATTGCAATTCAACCTCGATTTTATACACTTTAAATTTCTCTAAAGCTTCATCTTTGATGCGTAATAAATACACTTATACACATAACAAAACCGAGTTGAACCATCAATAAAAGTAACAACATACTTCTTATTGTCAAGGGAAGGAGTTGAATGAATATCACATAGATAAGTATGGACAAGATCTAAAATAGCTGAATTCCTCCTAATATTAGGAAACGATTGTTTTGTGATCTTAATAAGCATGCAAGTCCTACACTTATCATTATTAATATCAAAAGCTTGAATTAAACCATCTTTAAGCATTTCATGCTTTTTTCTAATATTAACATGAGCTAGTCTAGAATGCCAACTCATACATTCATTAATGGAAAATGTCACAAAAACAGAATAATCACTATAAATTAATTTATTCACAACATTCAAACGAAACATGTAATTTGATAAATATGTATTATACAAATGTGCACTCCACATGTACTAACTTGTATTAGAACATAATTTTAATTCCTATTGGCATTTATGTCATTTCCGATTACCCAAAACGACTAGTAACACTAAAATCACCAACATGGAAGAAGCAATCCACCTCTGAATTATTTAGATCTGCACAAGGGACTCATAGATGGAGAAGGTGACTTGTTGAATTGGATGGGATGGGAAAGAGAGAGAAGAAATGAGGAGAGCCAATGCGTGCAGCAGCTGAAGAGAAAACAATAATTATGGAAAGGGTAGAATAGGGATTTGAACTCCTATTCTTGCATACATCTTATGTTTCACTCCTATTCTAGACAAATCCTCTAAATTGTAACCATATTTGCGTTCGTCCTACCAAAATGAAACCTTGGTGTCATTTACCAACGAAAAGATGCTACACACGATTCTCCTTGGAATCTGGAACTTTGGTAGTTACTACGTACATTTTTAGGTTGAAGTCATTCTTCTTTAACCTGGACAGTCTCTACAGTGGAGTTGCTCCATAGATAGCATGTCAATAAAATTAATGTACATGATCCTTGACCATCTACGGAGAACTCGTTAAAGAGAATATGCAATAATTTACATACCCAATCTTCATTGGGTTATGAACAGGCCAAATTTTGGTCATTTGACATCCATAGTTCTATTATCGTCTGCAAAAATAATATGATCATCATCTCTGATCAATTCAATATCATCTATTTCCGCCCCCGATTTGCTCAGAATCTTGGAAGGCAAGAAACCATACTTCTTAAACCCAATCTGCAGTAACTGTTGTAAGCTCTCAGGTAGTACCACAACCTTTCCAGCAATGTCTCCTCTCTCGGGCCAACTAACAGTCACTCTAGTGGGGTAAGGTTTTTTGGTTGCGGTTTCTTCCACGGGGGATAAAATTGGCTGGTCAATATTTTTAGCAGCCGACATTATACCAAACAATGAGTTGTGGAAGCTGTTTGTTCTACGTCTGGGGCGGGACCTCCCCACGAGTGATCCCTCGGAATGTGTCGTGGGGGGCATTGTGGGCTCGCTTTTGAACCTTCCAATAAAGCGGACCCTGCTTGGCCGTTCTTCGGGGACCGTGGAGGCAGTGGATTGATCACACCGGGATTCGAAGAGTGCGATGATATCATTGTGACCTTGTTGCTCAGCCAAATCCCGTGGGCTCCACCCGTACTCGTCTGGCTTATGGATATCCGCCCCACAGTCGAGCAGGTACTTGACCATCTCCACATTGCCTTCACACACCGCAAAGTGGAGGGCTGTCTTTGTAGGGCCATTGGTTCTGGGAAGGGTTACATCCCCTCCACAACGGACAATTGCTTTGAGGAGGTCGAGGTTGTTCTGCTCAGCAGCAATGCATGCGAACTGACCAACATCCCCAGAAGATATGTCTGCACCGTTGTCCAACAGTAGCTTGACTACATGATCATGTTTTCCCACAATGGCTTCCCATAATGGTATACTCCCTTCAAAATCTGGATGCATTAAAAACGAGGGGGAAAATCGGTTAAAGCACATAGAATAGCAATTATTTCATATATTTTTATATCTGGACTGCTATTAAACCAGGATGATGCATTACAATACAAAATTGGACCACTTTCCATTTAATAAAGCAGGTTGTTATGGTTGCATGTCAGATTTTCAAAATTTGTTGGTAGCTTGCTATGTGAAAAAAAATAGTCTTAATGTACGTACATTAGCAACAGTTAATGTTACCTAGATGTTAACTAGTTGATTTCTGGAACCAGGTAGATCAATCCTATGGTTTCCATATTCAAAATATGTCTTAATTTCCCTTTAGTATTATTATTATAAAATGAAGCTTTTCTTCCTAATGATGTTATTTCTAGTGGTTTCCATATGGCGTTGCGGTCTGGCTCTAATAAGAATAATTATATTCGTAGGATCAACAATGGGGGCACTTATCTTTGATCTAATTACTATTACCATTCAACTGGATTTGAAGCATGCACCCAATGAAGGATCTCCACTGGAGGCAGTTGGAGAAAACATAACTATCCATTTAAATAATTGGGTTTCGGGATGAGTTTGTTTTGAGTTTTGCTAATCGTCCAGGTATCCGACCCGTAGCCACCAACAGAAAGAACAAGAGGGCTGACAGAATGTAAGAAGAGGATGTGAAATTAATTATACCTTTAAGGTTGGGATTGGCTCCAAAGTCCAGAAGAAGAGCGACACAGTTTATATATCCTTTGGATGCTGCTGTATGCTGATGATATTAATGCAAATTGGGACAATAAAAGCCACAAAACAAGAATGATATTAGGAGGAGAGGAGGGGTTATATGAAGCCGTGTAATTGATGTTAAGAGATATGAAAGTTAAATAACGCACAAGAGCGGTTCTCCCATTGTTGTCAGATTCATTTGGGTCTAATCCCCTCTTCAACAAGTGATTCAACAACAAATCGTCTCCCCTTTGTGTTGCGAAGCAAAGGGTCAGTGGTAACTCCATTCTCCCCCTTGCTAACATATGTTCTGTCTCTAACAGAACTCCTTCCATTAATGGATCATCCTTCATCTCCTTCAGGTGCTGCTCAAAAAGCAAAATCAAACTGTTAATGTTAAAGAATCCTTTGGTTTTTGGGTGAAAGTATGGAAATATACCAAGTAATGACTGAAACATATTGTGTTTCCCTATGACCCCACTAACTTAATATATTCTTTATAGGTCTTTTTATGTGATGATCATCTATAATCAATTAATGGTATTTTTTATCTATGACCAAATAAATAGGATCTTAGGATTAAAAGTACAGTAGTCATATTTAAAGTAGTAGTTATGTATTAATCTGTTATGAACATAAATTCCTTAT